ATGTTTGGTATTCACAACCCTAGCGAGGTTGGTCGTATCGCTACATGCCAACGTTTGGTATCCAAAACCCTACAGAGTTTGGTCGTATTGCTACATGCAAACGTTTGTTATCCACAACCCTTGCGTAGCTGGTCGTATCGCTACATGCCAACGTTTGGTATCCACAACCCTACAGAGTTTAGTCGTATCGCTACAGTCAACGTTTGGTATCCACAACCCTAGCGAGGTTGGTCGTATCGCTACAGCCAACGTTTGGTATCCACAACCCTACAGAGTTTAGTCGTATCGTTACATGCCAACGTTTGGTATCCACAACCCTACAGAGTTTAGTCGTATCGTTACATGCCAACGTTTGGTATCCACAACCCTACAGAGTTTAGTCGTATTGTTACATGCCAACGTTTGGTATCCACAACCCTACAGAGTTTAGTCGTATCGCTACATGCCAACGTTTGGTATCCACAACCCTACAGAGTTTAGTCGTATCGCTACAGCCAACGTTTGGTATCCACAACCCTAGCGAGGTTGGTCGTATCGCTACATGCCAACGTTTGGTATCCACAACCCTAGCGAGGTTGGTCGTATCGCTACAGCCAACGTTTGGTATCCACAACCCTACAGAGTTTAGTCGTATCGTTACATGCCAACGTTTGGTATCCACAACCCTACAGAGTTTAGTCGTATCGTTACATGCCAACGTTTGGTATCCACAACCCTACAGAGTTTAGTCGTATCGCTACATGCCAACGTTTGGTATCCACAACCCTAGAGAGTTTGGTGGTATTGCTACATGCCAACGTTTGGTATCCACAACCCTAGAGGGTTTGGTCGTATTGCTACATGCCAACGTTTGATATCCACAACCCTTGCGTAGCTGGTCGTATCGCTACATGCCAACGTTTGGTATCCACAACCCTACAGAGTTTAGTCGTATCGCTACAGCCAACGTTTGGTATCCACAACCCTAGCGAGGTTGGTCGTATCGCTACATGCCAACGTTTGGTATCCACAACCCTAGAGAGTTTGGTCGTATTGCTACATGCCAACGTTTGGTATCCACAACCCTACAGAGTTTGGTAGTATTGCTACATGCCAACGTTTGGTATCAACAACCCTACAGAGTTTAGTCGTATCGTTACATGCCAACGTTTGGTATCCACAACCCTACAGAGTTTAGTCGTATCGTTACATGCCAACGTTTGGTATCCACAACCCTACAGAGTTTAGTCGTATTGTTACATGCCAACGTTTGGTATCCACAACCCTACAGAGTTTAGTCGTATCGCTACAGCCAACGTTTGGTATCCACAACCCTAGCGAGGTTGGTCGTATCGCTACATGCCAACGTTTGGTATCCACAACCCTAGCGAGGTTGGTCGTATCGCTACAGCCAACGTTTGGTATCCACAACCCTACAGAGTTTAGTCGTATCGTTACATGCCAACGTTTGGTATCCACAACCCTACAGAGTTTAGTCGTATCGTTACATGCCAACGTTTGGTATCCACAACCGTACAGAGTTTAGTCGTATCGCTACATGCCAACGTTTGGTATCCACAACCCTAGAGAGTTTGGTGGTATTGCTACATGCCAACGTTTGGTATCCACAACCCTAGAGGGTTTGGTCGTATTGCTACATGCCAACGTTTGATATCCACAACCCTTGCGTAGCTGGTCGTATCGCTACAGCCAACGTTTGGTATCCACAACCCTACAGAGTTTAGTCGTATCGCTACAGCCAACGTTTGGTATCCACAACCCTAGCGAGGTTGGTCGTATCGCTACATGCCAACGTTTGGTATCCACAACCCTAGAGAGTTTGGTCGTATTGCTACATGCCAACGTTTGGTATCCACAACCCTACAGAGTTTGGTAGTATTGCTACATGCCAACGTTTGGTATCAACAACCCTAGAAAGTTTGGTCGTATTGTTACATGGCAATGTTTGGTATTCACAACCCTAGCGATGCTGGTCGTATCGCTACATGCCAACGTTTGGTATCCAAAACCCTACAGAGTTTGGTCGTATTGCTACATGCAAACGTTTGTTATCCACAACCCTTGCGTAGCTGGTCGTATCGCTACATGCCAACGTTTGGTATCCACAACCCTAGCGAGGTTGGTCGTATCGCTACAGCCAACGTTTGGTATCCACAACCCTACAGAGTTTAGTCGTATCGTTACATGCCAACGTTTGGTATCCACAACCCTACAGAGTTTAGTCGTATCGTTACATGCCAACGTTTGGTATCCACAACCCTACAGAGTTTAGTCGTATCGCTACAGCCAACGTTTGGTATCCACAACCCTAGCGAGGTTGGTCGTATCGCTACATGCCAACGTTTGGTATCCACAACCCTAGCGAGGTTGGTCGTATCGCTACAGCCAACGTTTGGTATCCACAACCCTACAGAGTTTAGTCGTATCGTTACATGCCAACGTTTGGTATCCACAACCCTACAGAGTTTAGTCGTATCGCTACAGCCAACGTTTGGTATCCACAACCCTAGCGAGGTTGGTCGTATCGCTACATGCCAACGTTTGGTATCCACAACCCTACAGAGTTTAGTCGTATCGTTACATGCCAACGTTTGGTATCCACAACCCTACAGAGTTTAGTCGTATCGCTACAGCCAACGTTTGGTATCCACAACCCTAGCGAGGTTGGTCGTATCGCTACAGTCAACGTTTGGTATCCACAACCCTACAGAGTTTAGTCGTATCGCTACATGCCAACGTTTGGTATCCACAACCCTACAGAGTTTGGTCGTATCGCTACAGCCAACGTTTGGTATCCACAACCCTTGCGTAGCTGGTCGTATCGCTACATGCCAACGTTTGGTATCCACAACCCTAGCGAGGTTGGTCGTATCGCTACAGCCAACGTTTGGTATCCACAACCCTACAGAGTTTAGTCGTATCGTTACATGCCAACGTTTGGTATCCACAACCCTACAGAGTTTAGTCGTATCGTTACATGCCAACGTTTGGTATCCACAACCCTACAGAGTTTAGTCGTATCGCTACAGCCAACGTTTGGTATCCACAACCCTAGCGAGGTTGGTCGTATCGCTACATGCCAACGTTTGGTATCCACAACCCTAGCGAGGTTGGTCGTATCGCTACAGCCAACGTTTGGTATCCACAACCCTACAGAGTTTAGTCGTATCGTTACATGCCAACGTTTGGTATCCACAACCCTACAGAGTTTAGTCGTATCGCTACAGCCAACGTTTGGTATCCACAACCCTAGCGAGGTTGGTCGTATCGCTACATGCCAACGTTTGGTATCCACAACCCTACAGAGTTTAGTCGTATCGTTACATGCCAACGTTTGGTATCCACAACCCTACAGAGTTTAGTCGTATCGCTACAGCCAACGTTTGGTATCCACAACCCTAGCGAGGTTGGTCGTATCGCTACAGTCAACGTTTGGTATCCACAACCCTACAGAGTTTAGTCGTATCGCTACATGCCAACGTTTGGTATCCACAACCCTACAGAGTTTGGTCGTATCGCTACAGCCAACGTTTGGTATCCACAACCCTAGCGAGGTTGGTCGTATCGCTACAGCCAACGTTTGGTATCCACAACCCTACAGAGTTTAGTCGTATCGTTACATGCCAACGTTTGGTATCCACAACCCTACAGAGTTTAGTCGTATCGTTACATGCCAACGTTTGGTATCCACAACCCTAGCGTGGCTGGTAATGGCACCACATGTAAACTGTAGCTTGTCCCAAACCTAGTACATCTGGTTCCGTCAAAACATTAAACATTTACTAACCCCAAACCTAGTATATCTGGTTCCGTCAAAACATTAAACATTTACTAACGCCAAACCTAGAAGATCTGGTTCCGTCAATACATTAAACATTTACTAACCCCAAACCTAGTATATCTGGTTCCGTCAATACATTAAACATTTACTAACCCCAAACAGAGAAGATCTGGTAATGTTGCCAGATTAAACCTTGCCATATAACTGGAAGTAATGTTTTTTACCCTTTAAGATTGCTCATGCTGAGTGAGTTGACCTTAACGCCATTTTGAACAGTATTCCAGCTAAATGTGGGAGGAAAGCCCGAAGGTGTCAGAAGTTTACCACTTTAGTGAAACCTACGAGCACGAATTTGGTGCTGAAAACACTTATTACACATATTCGGGGCGAACTGGGATAGGAAACTACGATCCAAGCTTTCAGGAGTGCCCAAGGGAGCAACTCTGCACAGCGAATTGCGGCGCCTTAGACGACTGTCTTCGTCACTGCACTATCAGGATGCTGAACTGCTGTCGTCACCACTACTGTATCGATTTTTATTCCTTGAAACCCAAAGGTCGTGTGTGTGTGTGTGTGTGTGTGTGTGTGTGGGGGGGGGGGGGGGGGGGGGGGTTGGTGAACTTCAGAAAACAGAACTGTTCACAATTTGTGTGTTGCCAAATCAAAAGATATATTAATAAGACCATCCTCTGACGTTGGCTTAAACGTTCACATTTAAACATATGCATACAGTGCAGATTGATATTTACATTTGCACCTGCTCCAGACATGATGCAATTTTGCAAATATACGCACATGCGTACATGCGTTCACATGACAAGTATGCTCACGTATGCAGATATACACACATGTATAGAGGGGCATGGGGACAGGGCAATGCAACCACTGTTATTCCCAAGAGGATGGGCCTCTTAAAGACCCGGAGTAGAATAGGTCTTCAGCAACCCATGCTTGCCGTAAAAGGTGACTATGCTTGTCGTAAGAGGCGACTAACGGGATCGGGTGGTCAGGTTTGCTGACTTGGTTGATGCATGTCATCGTATCCCAGTTGCGTGGATCGATCCTCATGATGTCAATCACTGGATTGTCTGGTCCAGACTCGATTATTTACAGACGGCCGTCATATAGCCGGAATATTGCTGAGTGCGGCGTTAAACAAAAAAAACAAAAAAACAAGAGGATGAAGGTGGTGAATACAGACAGGCGTACTTATTCTTACCTTTCCCGGGTGGGCCTGCCGGACCCCGTATTCCAGGCTTTCCTCGTATTCCTTGTGGCCCCGCGGGGCCTTGAACTCCGTCACTGCCGTCCCGCCCCCGGGGGAGTTGAATGGGGATACGAGTCCCGCTGACTCCATCACACGCCACCTCCAGGCTACAGAACTTCTCGATGTCAGGCTTGTAAAAGTCGTCCGTCAATTTCTTCCTCTCTGATAAAACAGAGCGTCCAGCGCCTTCTGACAAGACCGGCGTCATTGACAACATCGACGTCAGCGTCAGAAATATTAAAGAAGCGCGAGTCATGGCTCCCTGGAAAACCAGACACAGACACAGATTCGGTTGATATTTCCAGCAAAAGCGAATCACAAAAAGGCAAAATATCGGATAGAAGTGTGGACAAGCGGCAACTCCTGCACACACAGAAGTTGTGTTTGTCAGCGAAGTTGAGATCGATTTTCACATTGTCTGGCTAGATCCGAAGATCGATAGAGGCCTCTTTGAAACATTTTGTTTTCGTATTCATTGCACATTTCACATAATCCGCCACGTATCGTAAGGACAATTACCTTCAAAGGCCACACTTGCCGACATGAAATTACATGCAGATTGGTTCTAATTAAGTTGAATGTGTTTCTAAGCCTACAACGATCACTTGGCAAATCAAATAGATTACCTACTCCCAGTATATCAATGTCTTGTGCCTCGCCTCGTCTTCCTCAGCTCAGTGTCCCGTGTCAGTAACAGCCAGTATCTACACCATATATATATATAGTAACGTTACGTGTACAAATGTCAACTCATACCGAAACTACCGGAAGCAAATGCAGTCGCCCTATCAGACTCGCTAAATGCACTTCAAGCCATCAGCGGCAGAAACTGCCGAATATACAAAACTATCGGACCAAGGGCAACAGGACAACAAAAGTTCCCGTGACACTAATATTATAGTGTATTTTTCAAACAAGTAAAGCTTGGTTTTTAATATTGTACTACATGTATGGAATCAAGTCACATAAACGCAACTGCTACAGAAAAGCATGCATTCCATGCAAAAGTTGACTTTTATGCAAGCCCCATGCATTTCACTACCTAAGAATGGATATAAAACGTGTGCGTTAACGGGATTCCATATGCATTGGTTAGCATCGTGCTGACAACAACCACTCAGAAAAACAACAAAATTACGCAACTATTCAACATTACGAAATGCCACTCCTGTCCGAAAATGAGCGTCTGCGAGCCATTGGTATGCTTGAAGCAGGATCGAGTCAACGTGATGTTGCAAGAAATTTTAACGACCACAGAAACACCAAACACATTTGGTGTTTATGGCAACGTTGGCAACAGACGAATGCAGTCAGAGACCATCCTCGGAGTGGCAGGCCACGCGTAACCAATAATCGACAAGACAACTGGATTCGAACAACACACCTACGAAATCGATTCTAGCCAGCAACAGTGACTGCAAGAAGCGTCCCTGGCCTTCGACGAATATCTTCACAAACCGTACGTCATCGCCTCAGATGTGCAGGGATTGTCGCCAGAAGACCCGCCAGACGTCCCATTTTGACACCGCCGTCAAGCGGTCAAGCGGTCAAGTGGTGCAGACAGCGTGTACGCTGGGCGGCCATGCAGTGGGTACAAGTTCTATTCACTGACGAGTCTCGTTTTCACCCTAGCGACAGCGATGGACGGATTCGAGTGTACCGACGTCGAGGTGAACGTTACGTCAATTATTGTGTCATGGAAGAAGATCGGTTCGGGGGCGGCAGCGTTATAGTATGGGGTGGGATTACAGAAAGACAGAGGACCCGTTTGATAGTGGTAGAGGGAAATCTCAATGGACAGCACTACCGCGACGAGATCATCGGCCCTGTTGTTCTACCGTTTTTGCGTCGTCATGGCCCAGGCATTAATTACCTTTCAACATGACAACGCCCGGCCTCATATTGCTCAACTTGTTCAGGATTCCCTTAAACAAAACAACGTGAATGTCATCCCCTGGCCGGCTCGCTCCCCTGATCTGTCACAAATCGAGCACATGTGGGTTGAGATGGATCGGCGCCTTCGACATCAACCACGTGTTCCACGGACACTCCATGAACTTCGAAACATGCTCCAGCAGATATGGACAGATATCCCACAGGACTTTGTGCGACGCCTGGTCCGTTACATGAGACGAAGATGCATCGCAACCAGAGGTGGACAATCACGCTATTGATTTGTAAATTGACATTTTGGCATGTTCATGTTTTTTTAATGAAATCACGCATTTTCTGAAGTCGGTATGGCAAATTAAACCACTTGAACACTTACAGGAGTCTTTTATCTGTTGCAAACCGAAATTGTTTCAGATTTGGTAAAAAACATTACTTCGCATTAAATCTTATTCAATGTCACAAAAGTTTTTGCTGTTCAGTATAGATATTTATGGAAATGAAAAGGCAGACACATTGGCGAAGCTAGCTCTAGACAAAGCGGGGATACAGCCTATTCCCTTTAGTATACTAGAAATAAAAAGCAAAAGCAAAGCCTCCATAGCCCAAAGATGGCAAGCCCAGTGGGACGCAAGTAAGATCAGCAAATGGCTGTACAAAATTCAACCCAAGATCCACAAAAAGCCAAACTCATACTCAAATGAAAGGAAAGTTGCAATTGCCAAAAGTACTCACGGAAATGAAAAAAACCTGTTTTTTCGACCTCAGATCTTAAATAAATGCAGTTAATATACAAAATATGTAAATATTCAAACAACTAAATTAGTACTAATTGGGCCGTGGCACAAATACAGCGTATTAAATGTTTTTGTGCCTTTTTACACGTAAAAGTGTGTAAAAATGTGAATAAAACAGGCTATTGTGAAACAGGGCATAACCAGGTGTAAGTAGATCAAGGTGACCTATGACACCTTGACGACAGGTGAGAACAGGTGCATAATGCGCATAGTCTGTTTCTGCTATGTCAATTTGGACTTAGTTTTATTTTTGAATGTTGAAAGTGCCGACAAATTACCTCCTGTAAAGTACATTTTGTATTGTTCACTGAGATCAAACTAGCAAATCCAGATTAGTACTTTTCGAGTTGTTTTTTATTTCGCATTTACAGCTACGTAACACTTTGTGTCGATTTTTAAATTAAGAAAAACAGTTTTTTTTCATTTCCGTGAGTACTTTTTTAACTCTAGAGAGATGGGCAGGTACTCGAACGTATATTAAACAGAGCAGCCAAAGATAAAAATGAAAGTATATCAATATACGAAAATAGAAATCATATCAATACAAAAACAGAAATTATGTGAATACCAAACTCACAATAGATATGTGTACCCTACTCACACACATGAGCCCCAAAGAGGGACAGGTCAGCCGAAATTGCTAAGGCAGAAGGCGACCTCTTAAACACTTAAAGTAACAACATCAAATGTCAATAGTTTCACATCGTTGTTTTCCTCAATGAGCAAGGGTTAAACGGACCTGACAATTGGCCGGATGATGCTTGTCTCGACAACAATGTACTGATTTTTTTTTCTGCACACGAAGCAGACCTTTCATTTTCCTTGAAGTTTAAACACTTCTATGACGTCATTCTATTGTTTCAACGCTCCATTATTTTTCAGGAATGGAGAGTTGTTTGTCAAATGTACATTATCTTGAATGAACATTTGAATAAATTTCCACTTGGAACAGACGGAACTATTTTTTACATTTATTGTCAAGTGAATAATTCTATTTTTTTCGAAAACATGTGTCGCCAGCGGGATACGAACCCCCATCGTTTGATTTGATAACGTGTAATTATCAACCTCAGCTACGGCGGCACATGTGGTGAGAAATTAACTGTTAAATATTTTCATAATTTTGCATAATGGTAAAAGCTCAATATAATATGTATTTATTTTGTGTTAGAGCAGGTTACCTACAACAATGTTCATATTTAAAGCAATTAGATAAACCTTTGGCGAGAAAAAACAAATAAGGTAATACAAATATCCCTTGTTCGGGGCTCTATATTTCCTATTATTCCCGTCAGCATGTATTAACAATGTGCAAGCGATTAATGAATACTAGTTTATGGCCCAACGTAATTATAAAGAGCCGTGTAGCACGCATTGTTATGGAATACTGTAAGGGACATTCTCGCGATCTCGCATTCTCGCGATCTCGACCTTAGGAAACGAGGTAAATATGCCCAAAACACGAGAATGCGAGATCGCGAGAACGCGAGATTTGGCCAAAATCTCGCGTTCTCGCGATCTCGCGTTCTCGTGTTTTTGGTACATAGCACTTTTTGTCAAAAGTCGACAACGCGAGAATGCGACATTTGGACATGATGCAAAATCTCGCAATCTAGCAATCTCGACCTGTCAAATTAGGCCACAAAAACACGAAATCGCGAGAACGCGAGAATGCGACATTTCATTTTCTCGCGATCTCGCGTTCTCGTGTTCTCGCGTTTTAGACGCTGTCCGTGCGCATGCGTAATATCACAAGGTCAAGGCCCATGCGCACGTTAGTAGTCCTTTGGTCATGCTCCTTTCATGCTCTTCATTCTCCAAGTAGCATTTAGCAAACTTATGACTTGAGCTTGAAAATGCTATGTAATTTACATACACAAAGTCTGAGTCATCTCCCGTTGTTACAGTTTCCTATGTACTTTATAATCAAACCCTCAACATGCTCAATATAATTTAACAAAAGAAATTGTGTCTATGAATGTCCAATGATGGTGAAAACATTAATGTGTCCGAAAGCTGGAAACAAAACTATTACCGTCAGTGAGTGAGTAATATTGCTTAAAGCCGCACCAGCAATACTACAGTTACAAAAATAATCACAGGCCAGTGAGTTTCTCCATGAGGCAATGTTATACACGGCTAGCATATTCATGAAAGGCAAAATTCTCATAGACCAATTTGAAATACAAAATTAATTATCATATTTTCATCCGCTCCAACCTGACTACAAACCATCCCGCTTTACATTATTTTATAGTTAAAATGGATAAAATTATCATTAAACCGCCCGCATGTTATCATAAATGAGCGGGCCACTAGTAAAGAAATAAACGACGAGTGGGAGTACAATAAAACACTGCAGGGAGAATAAACCATGAGGGGCGAGTGTTTTATTGTACAATAAACAACAACCACGAGTCGTTTAATGATTATATGAGATATCAACATTATGTACACCCTCTTTAAGGATGTTGATAAAATGTACAAGGTTTAAAAATATTTACCCCTATTTAAGGCGGGTATTTCCCGCATATGCTCACACAATCCTCAGGTCGATTACACGTACCTTTTCTCCCAAAACCGATTGTCATATTGTAATCGGGGATTGTGAAGGAAAATACAATTTCAAACATAGGCTACGGGTGTGAGTGTTTATTGCCCGAGTAGATAATGACATCCTTTAATGTACAAAAAAATAACATTATAAAAACAATACTGCATAGGTTTCATACACATACATATTCACACATTCATTCAGTTCATATAAACATACGTCTATATTCTGTACATGAACATGAACTTAATAATCAATGATATACAAAATCATTATCTTAACCCTATAATAAACAAACAATTCATCCAGGGCGATAACTCGATCCCGACATAACTCATAAGATACAATATAAACCTGGTCCATGTTGTAAAATACACTTAACATTATAAATACAATTACCACTTTCTTGAAACTGCTGTATTTATTCAGTAACTCACCATATATTTGGCATGATACACTATTTA